GTAGAGGCAGGCGGCGAGCACCTGCCCCGTCCTGCCTGTCCTGTCGTTCTGGCCCTGGACCCAGTCCTCAGCCGCCAGCCGCCCCTGGCTCTTGGTCAGGATCAGCAAATCCCCCTTCTTGAAGGGCAGGAGGGCAGCGTCGCCTGCGCTTCGGTCACACACAGAGGAGAACGCCCCGCTGACCCATGGCTCTGCGGAGGTGGCTCTGGCTTTGCTGAGGTGAGGAAGCTGCGGCAGAGCTGAGAGCCAAGGCCGCTCTGACGGGAACGGTGGTGGATCTCCCACACCCTGGGCCCTGGAGGGCCCGACAGGCGGGCAGGGCTGGGGGCACTGACCATGGCCCCACGCTGGGAGACCTGCTCAGAGGCCTCACCTGGAGCCCTGGCCTGCAAGGCAAGGGGCGCGTGGACAAGGGGGAGAGGCCCACTGGCATCACCATGCCAGCCTAGATGCCGTGTGACCCTCATCTGTAGCGTGAGAGAGCAGTCTCCTTCCCTGGGGGGAGGAGGGACGATTGGATGCAAGTTCTCCCCTCCCCTCCCAGCAAGCCCCGCCTCTAGGCCGGGCAGCCACAGCCCCTCTGCTCTCCCAGGAGCTGCACGGATCCCCCTCCTACGGCTGAAGCTGCCCCCCTGCTCTGGCCGCTGGCCGCTGGCCTCTGGCTCTGGCTGTGGAATCGGCCAGCAGCCCGCTGGGCGGTGCTGGAGCTCAGGCTAATGGCCGTGTTCTGCGGGGAGCAGCCCTGCCAGGTGCCTCAGAGGGCGCAGTCGCCGTGAACCCCTCATTCTGGGGAAGGCAGGGCTTTGCCCGAAGCTACCCCTCAGGGTCTCGTGGTCCTCTCCACTCTCCGCTCAAGTCCCTCCACCCGCCCCATGCCACAGGGCTGCCCCCACCACCCGCACCTCGCCCAGGCACCTGTGGCCTTCTGGTCCTCCAGGGCCATGGCGAACACGGACCGCTCCTTCAGGCCCTCCAGAAAAACGGCCACCAGCTCGGCGATGGCCACGCTGCTAGGCGACACGAACTCGTACTCCTCCTCGTGCAGCGTGGAGAGCAGCAGCCTCTGCCCGCCCCGGGCCTCCCTGAGGGTGAGGACCCCGTGACCAAAGGCCTCCTCTGCCCTTCCCACCCAGCCCTGCAGCACCCCGAGTTACAGATAAGGACACAGAAGGGTTTGTCCGGGGCCACTGGCAGGGCCAGGGCTGGCCCAACCCGGGCACCGCTGTGTGGTGGGCAAATGACGGTGAGAGCTCAGGGCCCCTAGGGCCCCAGAGGCGGTGGTGGTGCCAACCCCTGGCATGAGGGCTCAGTTCTGGGCAGGTCACCAGGCGGCCAGTGTGCAGATGCCCAGGGCACTGCAGGAGCCCAGCAGGAGCTGCGAGCCACATGCCTGTTTACTCATGGCAGTGCCATGAGGACCCAGCATATGGGGATGTGCCCAGCGTGGTCAGCCTCAGGAAGTGGTGGCCAGTGTGTGCCCTGTAGCCACTGTAACAATGAGGATGGCTACGCCCCCCTGGGAGCTTCCATGACGGCTCTGCAGGCCCAGGCCGGCCGGCCCAGAGGCGGAGGCCTTCTAGGGAGACAAGAGCCATGGAGCGCGGGGCGGGGCTGAGGCCGGCTCGCCTGCAAGGCCGCCCCAGTGTTGCTCTGTGACCTGGCCCGCACCCAGCCCCCTCCCTCGATTGCTCGCCCAGGTGGCCTGCACCTTCCGCGTGGCCCCTCGGGAGGGAGCCTGTAAGGAACGCACCCCAAGGTGCACGATGGCCTGCCCTTCCCGGGAGGACGGGGGTGAGGAGAGGCTGAGGGCTGCTCAGCGGTGACCAAGTATAAAACCTCTCCGGCCTCATGGCCTTTGTGAAAAGAAGGCACTCCAAAGCCTCCCCGGCCATAAAATCCTATAATTTTGGTTATGCCCTTTCAAGATTCCTCACCCAAGGCCTGGCTTGTGGAGTACAGGGTGTCTCCTTTCAGTTTAAAATGCTGGGTTACAGAGCATTCTATTTTTTAAAAAAATTATATATTTAGAGACATTGACTAATGAGGTCAATTAACACAAACACTTTGGTCAGTCAGCTTTGGAAAAGAAGTACAAATTCTTGTTAATGGTACAATAATGGCCATAGAAGAAATTCTATGTGTGAGAGTCATGTTTACATTGCATGTTGAGTTTTATGATAATTAAACT